CCACTTGATTGTAAGAGCCCTGATCCTAACAGCCACCTGACAGAAAACGAATAATGTAAGCTGCCTAAGGGCCAATTTCGCTGGACTCCATAGATTGCAGACTGATTCTTGAGATGTAATTTGCATGCACACGCACACATCAGTGCATTAATATACAAGTGCAACAGGAAGAAGAACATTTATTTGCTCCTGTTCACCAAACAATACACCTACAACACATAGACCCTCCAATTCACACAACCATACCATCCACTTTCCCTCACTGCATGCACCCATGACCGCTATCAGCCATGCTTTGTACCTGTCAAGTGCTGTCCTTTTCCTTGTGCCCAGAGCCCTGCTCACTACATGAGAGCTCTCACATCAAAGCTTCGTGGAGCCCCACACGCACAGATGAAACACCCTCTCATTCCAGCCGCCTCTGTCCCCGCTCCTGCACATTAGACACATTTCATTTCATTACAACGCCACTGGAAAAATAGAGGTGCCGCTGTCTTAAAGGGACACCTTATTTACTCTCACTCGCGCTCGCCCACATGTCGACACGCACGCACGCACACACACAAACACTATCCACTTTCTTTTTAAATAATGTGACTAGAGGGAAAGAGTGGACAGGAGGCACGACTATTTTTCTATAGAGGCATCATAAGATGCTATTGGATAATATTTCATCAGGAATTACAATCACATCCTCTACACACACACACACACACACACACACACACACACACACACACACACACACACACACACACACACACACATATATATATATCTATATATATATGATAGATGTATTGATTTTACTTTTATATTATTATTACTTATTCTTAATACCTTGCACACGAAACTGAGGGGTTTTTTTGCATTTAAAGCATTGCTTTGTTTGATGAGATGATGGAGGTTTCATCATGATGATGAGTCGAGCCCTGGTTTCCGTAGCAGCGGCAGCCTTTGTTGTGCTATCTGGTGTGGGACAGGCCGACAAAGGAGAGCTAAGGAGCATCCAGAGCGAGGTGATGAGGTCGGGGTGCCCCCCCTCTCACAGGGGTCGGGGTGATCCTCTTGACCGCTGGCCCCAGGGCAGGGGCTCAGTGTGGTGGTGGCACAGGGGCACCTGCGGGGCATGGGAAGAGACTTAGGCTGCATACTACAGCAGAAAGGCAAGACTGACCGAATTCTAGAGGAGCGTACGAGTCTCTGTCTGTTTTCTTCGAGACAGTGTGTGCTCGTGTAGGACAAAGGGAGTGACCTAGTGTTAGCAATGTGTGTGAGAGAGATTTAGTGATAAAAAGGCAGGGTGACCCAACGTTTGGCAATGTGCATTTGTGTAAGATTCACACTTTGACAGCACATCACAATACAAAGATCAGTTTTTCCACGGCCGGGTGTTGTGTGAATGATGGGGAGTAGTTGGACTTAGCGGTAGCTAAGAAGCTGCGAAAAGACAGAAAGACATATCTCCATATATTTGGTTTTCACAAAAAAAAGCTGCACACATTTAGATGATACACAGCTTTTTATGAAAAACTTATCCTGTGATACATGAGGACATCATTGATACTCTGCTTTTTAATTTGAATACCCTATTTTTCTTACAAAACATGTATTTTCTAGGGAAGTGAATTTATTATACCCAGTCGTGGGGTCGCAGTAATTAGTTGTATCTGGAAGTTAAAGAAAGAAAAGAAGTAGAATCAAACCTAAAATTAATTCTATTAAAGTAAAATAAGCACAAAAAAATCTACTTGTCCTCTCCACCCGCAGAGCTCAGAGTCATATATTTTGTTGATGGAGACAACAATAAGAGGAGGAAATGACTGGACAGGGAAAGCACTGTTGCCCTGACATCAAAGCAGACCTCTTAGTGTTCAAATGAATGATGGTTTCCGACATAGAGGTGAACTTGGCGGCCCAGCTCCTCCAGACTAAGAACGCCAACGACACTGGTCGCCTTTACAGCAATGTTCTTCTGGGTGACTGGCCAACTGAAAGGGGTTAGTAATGTTAGGTTGGGTAGGTGTTGTTACCTCTCCAAAGCAAAGGCTACAGGGCACTCGGGGTTACCATAAGGACACTAAAGGCTCAGAACTGGGCTACTTGAGGTTGACATTTGTGTGTTTAAGTCTGGGGAGCATTATTGACCAGTAAGAGTTGGGGTAAGAGCACTGAAGACTAAAAAGGGGTTATAAGCCATAGGGCTACCATTAGAACACGTGCGCCACTGTTGCTAAACCATTAACTTTTGGCCTTGTGAACTGGGATTTAGGTAAGAGAAAAATGGGCAGCCCCATTGGACTCATGTTGTTTTATACACTTCAAATGTTATATATCTTTCAGTCTACATTTGTATTCTTCTCCTTCAGCCTTGTTATACTTTATAAGAGACACCTGTTAACCATCATCCAGTCTAATCCAATAACACTGCCATAAACGTTAAAGTTTACAGAGCTTGCACATTCTCGGTTGTATTTTAAAGATGATAATATGATAAAGATTGATCTTTTTATTTCATGTATATTGTTCAGATTCTATTAGGTGAGTTTGATGTACTGCAGTGTATTACCCTGAAAATTGTTCATAATATAATTAGTATTAGTTTTTAGTAATGAAATTGCTCCCATAGGCTGAACTGGTCTTGTCAGTTATTTTATCAGACTACCACCAGTGGGCAGTGGCACAAAGCTGGTGTCTATCGGCCTAGAGTACATCTCTCTGCTTCTCCTTCCTTCTCTGTCTATTTCGGTCTTATCCTTTTATAATCCATCTGTATATCTCTCTGTCTTCACTGCTCTCTTTTACCCTCACCGGCTTCTGTTGTTTTTTTCATCTGGTAATTCATCTGCTTGAATGTTCTGGTCTGTCTAAACTTCTTGCGTGCAGATGTCTCTGTGATGTCTGAAGCCTAAATTTAATCTTGCTAATAGAAACTCATTTATTACCTCTTAAACTTTACTCATGCTGTACATGCATTGACGCACACATAGAAAGTGATTAAATACAGATTTGGAAGCATCATCTATATATTTTTTTAATATAAACCACTTCCTACATTAATGTCAGACTTGTTATGCCTTGTAGTAAAAAGCAAAACTGAACTGAAGTATGTACCGTAGAAGAAAATTTATTTAAATTTATCTAAACATATTTATTGTGGTGTTTAAAATGTAAAAGCTAATAAGTTTAAAAATGTATATACATAATATATAATAATTAATTATTTAATAATGTCTGGCTTTCTTCACACAATGTTTTTTCTATTAAAAATATGTATAGAAGAGAAGAACCTTTGAATTTGAATAAGAGTGAGCGTAAGATTAATTTTAATAATCAGAAGACGTGAGAAAGTGTCAGTCGCCATTGTCAACACATGGTAAGTGCTAAGGGAAAGGGTGTGTGGCAGGTTTGATGTCAATATGCACAGGAGGGACACACACATGCTGCGTCAACAAAAGACATGCACATTGCAATAACACTTATTAAGGAATAGACGACATGTTGCTGTGAGGAGGCAGTGTGTGTGACGGCGATTTGTGGGGAAGCCCGGTGAAGTTGCCTCTCTTAGAACTCCTAAAGGTCTTTTTGTCACACACATATCTTTCGTGTCCCACAGTTTAGTGTTCATGTCTGTATTGGTGTGGAGTTAGAAAGTCCTGCACCCATAAGTTTAGGCCTTGGGGTGGGTGTGCGTGTGTGTGTGTGTTCACAATGGGGGTTGTGTGTGAAAAGCCAGCCCAAAGTGAAACAGGAATCCATCCATTTCCTGCTTTAGTTTCAGAGTGCTTAGGACAATAAACACAGTTAATTAAAATGGCTTCAAAGTTGAAGAAGTCACTAGGCTACAAAAAAAACCTTCTTTTCCTCTACAGTGTGCATATAGCAGCACATCCCTTCTGTTATTCTCTTTTTTAATAACTACATAGGCTCTTTCTTCTCCTTTTCCCAGTCTTTTTAAGCCCTTACTATTGTGGCATTTTATGTAAATCAAATATTTTCTTTTCACGTGAAAACCGTAATTCTTTCTTAAGGTTTTTTTTCTTAATGCAACTTTTATCTGCGGTGCTGCCTGCAGAAGTTTCAAGTCATATTTACATTTGTAGCTAAGCCTTTCACTGAGTGATGGTAGGATCGATTGGGTCTGATATTAAGTGACACATGGCCTTTGGAGTCACTAAATGCTACTCACTTACTGAAACCACCATCACTGAATTCCATTCCCCTAGTTACTCCTCAGGCTTGTCCCTGCAGTGACATTCTCTCCTCTATCTCTTTCGCTGCCATTTCTTTCAGTCTGGATTTGCATCTTTTCACCGAGTCATGTCACAATCTGTGTCTTTTAAGTGTCGTGTTGGTATTATTTGCTCATAAAGATCCACTGCTGGGCTCTTTGTTAAAGACTACGAACCACTACCAGATCAAGATTACACAGGAATGTTTGTGAGCTTCTTTTTCTTGTGGTTTACTCTGCATTGTTACATTTATATTGCTGTTTACTTACCTAGTCGGCCTGACAAAGGGACTATCAGATTTTTCTCAAGAAAAAAACGAAAAGAAAAGAAACATGTTCTAAAAAGCATTAAATTCTCATCACTTTTTAATTCAGTTCATAATTGTATCATGGAGACAAAACAAAACGAAATAACCGAAACACCTCAACATATTGGAAACTAAAAATCTGGAAAAAGAGGAAACAAAAATCTGCACCCCTATCACACATATGTTTCTGTATATACATGTCTACAAAGATGCATCTATTTATTGATATATTATAGAAATAAATGCAGATTAAAGGTTATCGCCTCTATTTGTATTTCTATTTTTTCTTTTACAAATATTTTATTTTAAAAAGGTTTACGTAAATCGGAAATAGTCAAATACCATATAGTTATAGTGTTAATGGATAAAATATCCAACACTTTTAACACTTTAAGGTAACTATCTCACGATGCTCGTGCCTTGGATTTAACACACAAATGTATGTTTCCTATTTGTTTTAGGAGGGCTATGGCGTGATGGTGCTCAACCCCAATGAGAACTATTTGGAAGTGGAAAAACCGACAAAGTCTCCCCTGCCCTCTCCGACGGAGACCTCCGACGAACCTGCTGAAAAGAGGGAGCGCAAAGACGATAAAGAGGGGAAAAAGAAGAAGGAATTTTATGAGAAATACCGTAACCCACAAAGAGAGACTGAGACAGAACGGATTCTTATACGAGTAAGTCCAAAAAAGGGAACGATGAAGATATGGAGAGAGGAAAGAGAAGGAAGGCAGGAAGGAAGTGTTTGCAGAGCCAGGGCTAGAGGAAAAGATGATAGATGCTGATGAAATGTAGACATGATGGTGGAGGTGGACAGAGTGACAGTTCTAGGGTCGTAGGAGGAGGTAGGAGGCAAGACATAGGTGAGAAAATGGATAGCAGGAATTTGGCTAAGTTTCGAAAGACAAATGTGGCAAGGGGGAGCGGGGAGGAGGAAGCTAGCTAAGGAAGTGAGGGAAGGATATGTTAGGTAACAAGGGATGAAGGGAGGATGGAAGGCAGAGGGAGAAAGAGAGGCTCTTGTGTGGTCAGCCTGTGTGTGAAGAGGTTGGCTGTTCTCCAGTCGCCTCTCAGTGAGCAAGTGTTAACCACATGGCTACCTCCCTTTCTCCTTCTTCCTCCCCCTCTTCCCCTCACTTTTTTTCCCCTCTCAGATGGTGGCCTGGTCAGTGCAGCTCTGGCCCTTCACTCTTGTTGACCGCTGGGATTATTATCTCCCTAACACACACTGTGCAAACACACTGCAACATTCTTATCGTGCAACACTGACTGTGCACCCCTTAATCATACATATACGCATATGCATACACATACAAATACACATAAACACACACATGCTCATATGCAGCACTCGAGGCGCCTAGCTTGGCCAGTTTACCTTGTGGTCAAACAAAGGAAGTGACCCATTGCATAAAGCTTCTGATGTCTTCTGTTTGACCCCTGCTGACAAATTTAATATTCATTGGCCACTTGAACAGGGTCCAGCCCAATTATCTTTTTCTTTTTTTTGTCATTCGTCCCTCACTTCCTTTTGTCATTGCGTAAAATCTTAAAAATTAAGATCATGCTCCATGGCTGGGTCTCATATAGGCAAAGCACCCTCACTGATTATATGAGTCTTCATTTGGTTGATGGCAGTAGCATCGCAGCAATGGATGTACATTTGTGTATGTGGGTGGTGTTTGTACATGTGTGTAAGTGTATGTGCATGTGTCTGCGTGTGAAAGACGTCACTCTCTGGTGTCTGACAAGAGTTAGGGCTGCTGTGGGACTAGCGGGCGGTGTGTGAGCTGTCATCACGGGCTTCTTTTTCTCACCCCCCACCCTTCCAGCAGTACCTTTATACACGCTGTAATAAGGTATAATTAGCTGCTGTCCTCTCTTACTCTATCAGATTTTGCATGTGTGCTGCTTTCCTCATCATACAAGCGGTGAACTCACTCACTGACATGAAGATCTTTGTAAATGATCCATCGTGTCATTTCTAATAATGGTGCCAAACAAACTCGCATCTGCTGTCAGCTCTATATTGATTTATTTTATAGCTGTACACCACGTGTATCTGCTGAGGCTTGAATGATTTTCATATCATGAACTGATCTCTTGCTTTTGCCATTTCAATTTTTTTGTATCTACTTGTATGTATCTTCTTTTTCTGTTGTCATCCTCTTGCCTGGGATCTTTACCGCTAAGTAATGTTAGCAGAGTTAGATCAAAACTACACTCCCAACTTAGTTTTCCTTTTACTACAAGTAAGCTGCAGTATTATTTCTGTGTCTTTATATTCAGCTTTGCTTGCTTACCCAGTGATGCATGCTGGCCACAGTCAGATATATTGAGGGGAGGCAGTATGAAGCAGTGGACAGTCTTCACATTCCCCATCCCAACAAGATGAAAGCAAGGACAGACGACATAATTAATGACCGAAAAGAAGGAAAAGAAAACCTTCCATTTAAACCAAGCACAATGTTGACTTCCTTTGTTATTCAACTATTAAACTTTCGGCAACTGAAGTATATTGCTAATTGATTTAGCACTTCACAAAGCAATATCATACTCACTCACTCACCTTGAGCAGGACTTAGATTTTGCTGCTAAATATACTTGTCTTTGCACGATTAACGAGTGAGCAGTTAGGATCTGTGTTGGTGCCTCTTGAATTTTGACCTTTGACCCAGAAGTGAGCAGGATGTTAGCATGTATGACCTCGCCTTTATTGTCCACCCCCTCCCTTCGCCGCATCACTACTCCACTGCTCATCCTCTATCCGTCCAAGAGCAAGCTGTCACATGCACACATGGAGATATGTAAAGGCTCACACATACCAGCAGACAAAAGAGTAAAGAAGGTGAAAAGAGAGCTGATAGTGTGTTTGTGTGTGTTTGTGTGCGCTTTTTTCCTTCAACTCTGTTGGTCAAGGTGGGTGGTGGATCAAATCAAACCTCTTTAGCAGGGCTGTTTTCATCTTTTTTTTTATACAGCACCCACCCAAGACACACTCACTCACCAACCTTTGTATTCGCTACACCTCACAGTCTTACTCCCGCTGGGCTGGCAGACCACCTGCACACAGCCATTCAGAAAGACACATATTCAAACTATAAACCTCTAGTCCTGGCAATATCATGACACCCAACAAGACAGAAGAAGCACCTTAAGCTTGAAATAACACCTGTCTTGCTCTGAGTTTATATTTGTGACGCTCCTGAAATTACAGTTTATCATCTCTTTTTTTCCTTCTAGTTGACTCGCAAAGATTGACAGATACACACAAATACACAGCAGCCCACTGATAGAGTTGAGTTGATTAATACGCTTCCTTACACACATTGGTAAGCTCTTAACTGCTTTTAGGATTCTTACTTTTTAGCCTTGGGTTCATAGTGTGCAACCTCTCAACCTTATCTAATCCTTCTCTTCTCTGCTCCTCTAGATCACACACCAATGGGCCATGTTTAGGGGGATATTGGTAGAGGAGAAAGAAAAAGAGAGAGGGCACAGGGAGGCATGGAGGGATAGAAAGTCTGATCGGAGGGATGCTGATGAGGATACTGGAGGGGAAGCGGGTGGGGGGTACTTTTTTAGCACTTAACCATATAGAAGTTTGGGAGTTCACTTTACTCTGAATTTTAGCAGTAATCCAGTTAGCTATTTTCTGTCAGCCAAGCGGAGGAATGGCAGGAACAAAAGGCACATTCATGGGCTTAAGAAGCTTCCAAAGAGTTCACCCAAGGCTGGCTGGCTGGGATTAGGCCAGCAGGCCCTGGAAAGAAGAAGGGGAAAAAAGAGCAAAGAGGACAAAAAACAGAGCTTCGCCTTTCTTTAAGCACCACTTATTTTTATAAATGACTTGAATGCTTTTCCTTCTTTCTGTTTTCGTGTTTTTATGTTTCTCCTTTCAACGCTGTACATTTCTTAAATATTGAGAAAGAGAGGGAAAAAGAGAGGCCCTCACTCCTAGAGGAATTTAGGGTTTCAGATTGAGGCTATCCCTTCTTTTCCTTTACTTTTGCTATATAAGATTCACTGCAACTTCAGTTGTCACCATGATATCTTTGTGCTCTTCTCTAATATTTTTCACTCGTTATAGACTTGCCATAGTGGCAACTGGAGGTTTGTTTGTTTTTTTAAGAAAAGTTTTATCTTTAATTTTTTGGTGATATCTTTTACATAACCTAGGGGTCTTCTACTACTGATCTTTTTGGATGCACGTAGTGTGTTGTGTATGTCGGTACATTTACTTTTTCTAGGTTTTGCTTCTGAAGGCCCATTATTTCCAGTTGTAGCTGTCCACACCAATCAGCTGGGGTCATTGTTTGTATCTAGGAGCTTAATTAATGAATTGCAATATATGCTACTGTAATAGTTGGCATAGCTCAAAACATTTAAAAACAAAGAAATATTCTATTTTGAGTGATGCACTGTGATAATATCATATGGTGGGATGTCTGGTGATTCCCACCTCTAATTTTATGCCTTAATACAATTTAGTTAGGTTCTATAAAAATGACACTTTACAGAGTTGTCACGTGTTTATTTCAGTTGTAAAGTTGGATGATTTGCGCATTGAAGTCTATGGGGTTAGACTTGTTTTAGGAGCCAGTGGTTTTGAACTGAAGTTTTGGCATTTTGGTTGGCTCCCTTCTTTAGCTTAGGAAGTTGCTGTTTGTGCTGTACTACAAATTCTCTAAGGTACATGCACGCAGATCTACACACAAACACACCAAAACTCGATCATAAACTTAAGACGTGAACACGTAAGTGCACAGTCTGACATTTGTATTGCGACACGGTACTACCGTGTTTCTCTGTGGATTTTTGCTCTTTGTCACCTTCACCTATTTGCCCCATTTTGTGGTCCACAAGCAGTCATACAGACATAGTTTACCTGACCTTTGATCTGTAGCCTTGCCAAGAAGTGAGGCTCAGCATTTCTAAGGACAGGTAGGGACTTGATTAACCTCTGAACCTAGTCAGAGGAGAGGTCAATGACCCGGGCAAGAGGGCAGCTCACAAGCTTGCTGCAGAGAGCAAATTGGCTGGATGCCACTTTTGCATTTGGGTGTGTATGTCCGTGTAAATGTGGCAGTGAAGGAGCTTTGATGTGTGTCCTTGTGTATCTGTTTTTATGAGCCAAGTCTTTTAGGTATGCTGCCTGTGGCATTTTTAACTTTAACTTTATTTTATATTAGAGTTGTTTACGGCAGTTTAGCTTTAACTTCTCAAAGTTTTAAAAGGGAAGGTCTGTTGGATTCAGCGCTGTTGGTTTGTGTGTGTGTGTGTGCAATTCTGAGCGCACTTATTTAGTACACAGCATATGTGCATGCATGCATACCTGTGTGTTTGTGAGTTCGCTTGGGGCAGAACAAGTGTAGCTGGTCTCAGATCCCTGCTCCCAATCTTCTACTCAGGTCAACCATCAAACACATCCATCCTGCCCTCGCTCACACCTCCCCACCCACTGAGCTCCCTGTCTCTGTTTCTTTCCCTCTTTGCACACAACCCTGTTGTGGATACTGGCTGACCCGAATGAAGATATAGTCAGACACACACACACAGCACCTCAGGGTCATCCTGGAACAAACACAGCCTTGTCTGCCTGCCCGCTTTCCTTTGCCTTATGTCAATTAATGACTTGCAGTAATTTCACCTGACAATCCTGGCGGCAGCACGAGGCTAGCCAAGATGTCACAGTGATGACCTTTCTGGCCCGCAGACGCTCTTTTCTAATAAAGAATCTCACAAACCCACAGCAACTTCCTTTGTACTTTGTTAATGAGTTATTGATTTGAAACAATGCCCTGGCAAATATTGTCAGAGCAGACTGACCCTACCAAGGTCATGCTATTTTATTGTATACAGTCTCTGCACGCTAATCTGAACGTGGGATGACATGTACGCCGTAGTTTTGCTCCTTTCTCTGGCATCCCCCTCTCTCTTTCTCTCTCTCTCTGACTCTTTCTCTTCCCCCTTACACTGTATATCCCCTCATTGCAAAGTCAAGTAACACACCTACACATATATTTCTCTCTCTGTCTTTCTCTCTCTTCCCCCCCTTGTTAGTCTTGCACATGTTTTTCACCTCATTCTCCCTTTTCTCCGTCTCTTTCTCGCATCATTATATTCCCAACTCTCCATAGGTAGTATACCTGCTAATTACCTACAATGCCACAGTCATTATTTTCCCATCTCTGCCGCTAATTTGCTCCATACCTTCTTTTCCCCCCACTCTAGCAGACCCATCAGCTCCCAGACAGCTTCCAGCTCGCCTGAGCTCTCTGTCTGCCTTTAAAGAGAGAAAAGAATGAAACAAATACAGGAGGGGAAGAAAAAACAGGAAAACGATGGCAAAGGACTGCACGTCCCAGACATTGATTAGAATGCAATTGCAAACAGGTGTCGTAGAGGTCCGCTATTTAATTGTGTGCGCAGAGACATGTACAGAATCATGCACGCAGTCATTCACAAACAAACACAAACTAACTGATTCTAATAACCTCTTTGCTAATACCAAACATGTAATTACCTACATTGCTTATTTAATATTTAGTCATTAGCCCAAATGAAAACAATCCTGTTCTGCACTGAGCTGGACATATTAAAGACTGTAATGACTAGGGCTGCAGGTTGGTTTACTCAGTGTGTGGCCTGCGAGCATGAGGGGACTGAGAGATTGGTCAGCCAGTCTTTACTGTGTTTCTGCTTGTCAGTGAGAGAGCAAAAGTGAGTACGAGAGTCCTGTGTAATTTCACTAATTTCTTTTTTCTTCTTCCTTTGCAGAAAGACATTGTTGTGTGACCTGTGCGTTCTGTTGCGTTTAAAAAATTCAGCTTTCTCTGTGCTCTGTCTTTCCCTATACTTTTTTTTGGGACTGGAACCGTATCTGCCCAAGCAAAAGAGTCTAAACCCAATGAAGTTGTTTAGAGATCCCCGTGACACTGTCCTGACACTTCTGGCTTCCGCTGAAAGGTTTCTCAGTGTAAAAAGTAGAATGGCTCTTATCCACTAGATTCCTTCCAGCCCACACTGCTCACCGTCTCCCACCTTGAAATTTCAGCTTCCCCAGACATCCGCTATCTTTTTGGATGACTGGAGAGGAGGAGCAGAAGGGAGGAGCAGGGAGGTCTGCAGTGGTTGTTTGTCAGAGTGTGTTGATGTTGTTAGATTCATTGTTTCCTGTGTTGGTCAGACACTGGGTTTGTGTTGGCGTTGAGGCTGTTATTCTGGCTGCAGTGCACTCCTCTCTTCTGCTCTCCTCTCCCTGCTTCTCATTACATTGAATAAACACAGGGCAAGTACTGGACCGGACAAACTTTTGAAGAACGCGAGTTTCAATCTGTGTGAATGTACTGGAGCATGCCTGTTTGTGTGTGTTTGTGGTACATGTGTGTGTTGTGTGCACACTCTTGGGTGCCTGCAATTAAGTATGGCTTTTGACTGGAGAGTAAGTCTTTATTGTGTAAGTAATGGAAAGAGCTAAATTGAACAATTTCTTGAAACTAGACAATTGGAAGGCACACTTTCAACAGAGGGCTAACAGTTGGAACCACTTATGGACTGAAAGTGGGATAGATCTTCATGCATAATGTTACTCTAATTTATTACTTGAAATCAGTGTTCTGCTGATTGCATAGCAGGATCTTGGCTAAAACCACATTTTGTTTCGCTGACTCATTGAAGTCATTTGTATTTTTTTTTAACGTGTGTGAATAGTTTGCACACAGTATGTTTTAAGCATGGAGTTCCCTAAATGTTTCTCAAAGTCTTTGTTGTGTCACTACCTACATTGCACTTTATTCACATGATTGATGTAGGTGCATTTGGATGAATGTTGGCGTGGTAAAGGTTTGTAATTTCCAAGTTTGAAGCTGGAAGTACACGTCAAACTCTTCTCACTGAGTAATTCTGCTAGACACACAATTGTACTCCTGTTATGTATCTCTCACTCACTCCCTTTCTCACTCTCTATAACTTTCTGATAAAAAGCTGTCTTTCAGCATCTGGAGACTGTTTTGTCCTGGGTGTCTAGAGTTCGGATTTGTACTTTATATTCACTGAGGGGACAGTATGGATTCCTATATATGTGGTAAACACATTGTACACACTCTCAAATGTCCCTTGACAGCTATGGTTGAAGTGTGCTGGCAACAGGTGTGCAGTGGGGAGGCTGTTCTGACAGTACTGGCAGATGCACACAGATCTACGAATGCGCACACATACACACACTCAAAGGCAGAGGAAAAAAATCTCTGGAAAATAAATAAACTAAGATACCGTGTGAGAGCTGGTGACGGGAAGCTAGTCTCACAGGGCAGCAGACTCCACTGCAGCAAATTAACTCTAGGAGATAATTGCAACAATATGCAAATGTTGTTTAGATAATTCAATACAATGTCATGTCAGGTAGTCAGTCACAGTTGCCTGATACTAAGGCAAAGACTGTATGTGCAAATTTGTGTGTGCGTGAGGTTAGGGGAAGGAGTCAGGAACACACCACCGCATGTTAAATCCTGCAGTGTTTTCCAAAATTATGAGTCATAGTATAGGAACAAATAAAGACATTTATCTTGTCCTCACATGGGCAAAAAACTAATATCGTGTCAGTTTTACTCATAGCCAGGTTTTGCCCTATTGATAACAGCACTTTTGGACTTGTTTAGGCGTTGGTATGTGTGCTACATAGAACAGCAAGCCATGTCTAATGTCTCTATGTCAGTGAACCTTGGGTGGAGAAGTGATAAAATAGGAGACAAATGAGTGTGAAGAAGAACAGGTGGCATCAGTGAAGGAGAAAAGAAGGTAGAAGAGAAGGGAAGAGTGAAAAAAGGAGGCAGGCTAATAAAATGGGCTTCATAGATGAAGGGCGACATGGTGGAGAAGAGAAGAGGGAGACTTCAAAGGGCTTTGATGTCACAGCCTTTCAGACAGACAACTCTTCTTCAGCCAGCCGCCGCGTACATGCCGGAGACCACATACACATGAATGCGTGAAAAGTAAAGGCATAGCCCTGATGGCAGAAGGGCAGGGCAGAGCGGAGTTGCCTGCTCTTGCATCACGCTCTGTGAATGGAGGTTGGTGCTGACACTACAACCCCCCTCATGCTAATCTAGCGCAAACACAAACACTCTGACAGGTTAATTTACCTCTAGACAAACATGGCAACAAAAACACACATCAGCACATCATCAAATACTACAACCGCACACAGACTTGCACACACTGATGCACGTGAGTGAAACCATTGAATCAAATCACAAGCTCGATTACTTTGTACTAAAACTAAACTTTAAACCACATCTTTGTCTGCAGTGTGTGTGTACGAGTTGTGTGTTGAGCACCTTCTTCTCAGTTACCACCTTGAATATTGAAGTAATTATCTGTCTGACATAATACAGTGTCCTCACACAATGAAAGCAGAATTGCGTTAAGTAAAAGGATGGTCTCTTAAGATATCTCCTCTGTCCTTTACCATAAAATTGCTAATTGCTTTTTTGAGTTTGATTGAACAGTTTGACTCTCGATTAACAGATGCGGATTTCTTCTCCAACAAGCCGTGTGTTTGTTTACTTTAGGATATTATTTCTGTATGCATAAGCGTGCCAATTAAGAGAAGTATGCGTGTAAATAATCAGGTTTGCGTTTCGTATGGCTACAGTTTCTCGTGTTGTTGAATCGCAGGATACAGGTGTCTTCAGTTAACAGTTTCTTGTGCAGTGTAACCTCTTGTGCGAATGCGCTGTTGATTTCTGTTGTGAACCAGACAGCCTGATAGAAAATCAAAGTCTGGAATCAATGTCACAAGTTCATTAATGGTTGCCCTTTTCGCAGCTGTACACTTGCTATTGTTCTTTCCAGTCCCAGATAAGCACTTACGTCTCAGGTTAATTAAACATGTCTTCTGGTTGCGTGTTACTGCACGTGTGTGTGTGTGTGTGTGCTCGCACAACTGTATACATGCAGATGAGATTGAGAAAAGATGTAGGGGAATTTATTTGTGGTACAGCATTGTGCTTGAGTGTGTGTTTTGTGTGTACGTGCATATGTCTCCTCTCTGTCGTCTTTTTTTTTTTTTTTGACCTTGCCCTGGTGTCTTCCCATTATGCCTCTACTGGTGTTTAGATGGACCATTGATTCAGCAACGGGGTACAAATTAAGATTTAAATGTTACGTCATCCTGCCTATTGAGTTTTACATTTAGGGCATTTGCAATATGCAAGACTTATTGATCTGTTGAAGTGTGGCTCTTTGTAGAAATCACCTCAGGCTACATCCACTTTTCTTTTGAATTTCTCTCTTTTTGGCTGGGCCTAGAGGGGCAGGTTTTGATGCTGTAGCATTAAAGCATCAATAGAGTTTAATAACTCTATTGATGCTTCATTGTCATTGGCTAGACCCTTCTTAAATGTTTTGTAGTTGCACAACTGGAGTTTGTCGGTAGCCTTCAAGCGTCAAGGATTTCTTTGAATTGTCTTTGTTGTGGATATGACAAAGCATATTTTTTGTCTTGCAGGAAAACGGCTCCTCAGAGGAACATGTGCTGTACGTGTGGGACCACTTTGTGTCCAAAGCCGCAGCCAAGAATGTCTTCATCATGGCCCATAGCTATGGAGGACTGTCTTTCGTTGAGCTGGTGAGTGTTTTAGTTTTCCGCTTGTCTTTTCTACCTCCTACCAACAAAAGCATGCACTGAAATGGACAATACACTCCTGTTAACACAAACACTATTGTACGTGTTTGACCCTTACACTACTTATTCTCGAACACACACACACAATAATACAGTGCTGTGAAAATGTATTTCCTGCTCTTCCTGATTTCTTTTTTGAAGATTTTTCACATGTAAATGATAAACAATAACTAGAGTAAAATTGAGGGACCAAAAATTATCCAAACATATCTAACTCTATGTAAAAAAGTACCTTTATTTTTTATTTCACTAGCCATACCCAGGTCTGATTACTTACTGCCCTTTTGAATAAAAAAAATCACTTAAATAGAACCTGTCTGACAAAATAAAATTGGCTAGAAGATCTGAAAAAGCAACACATCCCGAGAAACAAAGTCAAACAGAATCCTTGACATCTGTTAGTCTGAGAGGGTTACAAGGCCATTTCTGAGGCTTTGGGACTCCACTGAACCATGATGAGCGCCATTGTTCACAAATAGAGACAACGGTGGCGAACCCAAGAGCGTAATGATGACTTATCCAGGAGTTCCCAAAAGAACCCAGAACATCTAAATAACTGCAGGCCTCACTTGCCTCAGTTAATTTCAGAGTTCATGATTCGACAATAAGGAAGAGACTGGGCAAAAAATGGCATCCATGAGAGAGTTCTAAAGTAAAAACCACCGCTGATCAAAAAGAACATAAAGGCTCATCTCACGTTTGCCAAAAAAAGCACCTTAATGATCCTCAAGACTTTTGGGAAAATATTCTCTGGACTCACAAGACAAATGCTGAACCTTCTGAAAGGTTTGAGTCACCATTACGTTCCGTTGTAACATTCAGACATGGTAGTCTGATGGTCGGGGGCTGCTTTGCTCCTTCAAGACCTGGACAACTTGCAGTAATATATTTAACCACGAATTCTGCTCTCTACCGGAAATTGCCGAAGGAGAATGTCAGTTTGTGCCCTGAAGAAAAGAAAAAAGAAGGTTTTGGAAGGTTATTTAAAGTCCACACAGAAATACAATTGAAATGCTTTGGCATGAACGGACAGGGGAAAACCTTCCAATGTGGCTGAATTAAACAACTTTGCAAAGAAGATGGGGGGAAATTTCAAATGCTGTATATTATTGCAGATGTTTGATTGCAGTTCGTGACACAACCAGTTTAGGGGGCATTTGCTTTTTCATATAGGGCCAGTTAGGTTTGCATAACTTTTTTCGGTTAATAAATAAAATCATAATTTAAAAACTGCATTTTGTATTTGTCATCTTTGTCTACTATTAAAGTTTCTTTAATGATCTGATATGTTTTATTGTTACAACTATGCAAAAAGTAAGCTATAAAAAAGGAGGTAAATACTTGTTCACAGCACTGTAAAGACAAATACACAGTGATATTAGCATTGGCCTCCGCAGGAATACAGACACCAGGCTGGCGATGTGTGAAGCTTGGTCAAAAGATTAAGAATAAAAGTGTGTAGTCTCTTTGAGAAAGAAACTACTACAACTATTTAATTCGTTTTACCTTTTTAGACAATCTGCTTCATCACTATCTTTGGGTACTTCTCTGCACATCAAGAACAGGAGGGAAAGAAGGGAAAGTTGTCTTGATAAGGAAAGAATAGCAGTCCAACAAAAGTGTTGCTGAGATCTGCTGTGCAGCATGTAGATCTCTCCACCTTAAGAGTGACCTTAAGAGTGACAGATAGATCAAAAGATGGTGGGAGGGAAGAGAATTTGACTTTGAATGATTCAAAGGAGAGGTTGAAAATAAACGTTTGGCTAGCTTCTTACCTTTATAACCCTTCAGCTAAATGGGCCTACAATGTGTCTTTTGAGGTTTAGACTAAGGCCTCTGAGGTTAATGTTTTATTTTCTAGTCTTAAATTTACAATGGATTGTGCATCGCATAATAATGATCCAACTCTTTTGTAAGTGTTTTAGTGAGAGTTACCAACTGCAATAATGAAGGTTATGTGCAGATAATAAAGGCAATATTAGTGGGTTATCCTTCCCAAGCCATAATACCATTTAAGAGCCAAGCTTAGGTACTATTTGTTGTTTGGTTTTCATCCCAGAGAAATCAAAAAGTGCCTTTACTAATATTTGAGTAATACACTGTTTTCATCATAAGAGCATGCTATTATTAGTACCTGTATCATTACTTGAGTACTTCCTAAGTACTAATCATTTAAGTTGTTGGAAAGTTGTCTACTAGGGTATAATCTTCCTGAGGTGGGCTACAGGATGACTATTTCTGACTATTCCTGTACTCAAAGCAGTCTTTCTAGCGTATAGAAAGACTCAGAGTTGCAGTACATGTGTAAATATGGCTTTATTCTTAGAAACAGTGATTAGTTGCATTAACTGTCAAAATATGATTATGGTTAGTTTGGACTGCAATTTAAGAAGCTTGCTAACTAACACATTGCGCTAATTGTGTTTGCAGGCCTTTCTATGATCTGAGAGCAGGGTTTATTTTGCTGCAGGTTTCTTGATCTGGGGAATCGCTGTTAGACTCAGTACAACCAATATTATTATATCTCTCCTTTTTACTCAGGAAGGAGAGGAGGAAAGAAGCTAAGAGGATAGGGCCTTTCATGGGGGGGTGAAAGGTGGCCACTTCTCCCACTGGTGTTTTCAGGGATGTTTTATTTTCTTTGTTTTCCTTTCACCTACTCTTTTTTTGTTTTGTATTTTGTAATTTTAATTTGGCTGCTAAATATTCATGCACTGTTTTGTCTGTGACAGCTTCACAATCTCTTGGGCTTTTTCACTGTGTGACGAACACTAGCTTTTCTCTCGATTTGAATCTTTCTGTCTTTCTGTGTTTCTTTCACTCAGACTCTCTTTGCGAGGCTGTGTGCTTTTGTGATGTACAAAACATGCATATATATTATGTGCATATACAGTATGAATAATTAGCATATACCAGATGCAGTATGGGGGAAAACAACATTAAAACAGACACTTTAAAGATTCTTGTGTTCCCTTTTTGTGTCAGGGTATTCAGATATGTTCTTATCAAGTTTCTGCTGAGGCCATAGTAGTTTATGCCTTTAAATGTCAAATGCTCTTGACCTCATCTCGACACTAATACAAACACGTCAAATCAAGTCCAGATTTTATTTGGACCTCCACCATGTTTGACATTGGCCATTTTCACACATGCAGTGCAGACTTTAACTTTCTAGACATTACGTGATGGAGGTGCATGTGACCACAAATGCCTGATCCAGCTGTTTCAGACATTTGTCTTTAACAGGCCAGCTACACAAAAACCCGTGTGATGTTCGATTGCAGCCATTTGTAGTGAAGTGAGAATCACGTAGGTAATGCTTTAGTAAGTTCACAGTAGGTAGGCATTGCGTGTCTTCTATAGTGTACTAAACCATATTACCAGTAATAAAAACATAACCGTTGTTTGCAGTGTTCCAGCATGGTTCATGACATTTTCCAGATTTCATGTTTGAAAACAGCTATGAAAACTCTTATCCTTACCTCAATCTGTTGTGCGATCACCTTGGTTTCACCTGTCCAAAAGGTTTTATTCCAATATTAGACAGTATTTTCTAGTGAGATTGGACTTTTCTTATATTGTCCATATTTACATTCACAGAGGCATCTTTTGATCAGAGATCAAAACAGAATTCTGCTGTCATCCAGTTGAGTTAAATCTTGTGGATTTCTGTTATGGGTGTGTTAGCTCAAAAACATGTTTATATTTTAGACTCTTTAAAATAGCCACGCTTTGCTCTGCTTTGCACACTCTTGGCCATCTCTTGATGAGCTTCATGGCGTAGTCCTTGAAGGAGTTCCCAGAGATGCCGAAGCACTTGTTGGAACTTTGCCTTTACTTTGTGGTCCATCTCATCCCAAACCATCTCGATAGGGTTTAAGTCAATTGACTGTGGGGGCTATGTTATCTGGCGCAGCACTCCATCACTCTTCTTCTTGGTTAGATAGCCGGGAGGTTTGTTTGGGGTCGTTGTCCTGTTGAAAAATAAATGATGTGGACTATCATTTATAAAGGCAAACCGGATGGGATGGCATGCTGTGGTAGCCATGCTGGTTCAGTGTGCCTTCAATTTTGAATAAATCCCCAACAGTGTCACCAGCAAAGCACCCCCACACCATCACACCTCCTCCTTGCTTCACGGTGGGAACCATGCATGTAGAGACCATCCGTTCACTTTTTCTGCATTGCACAAAGACACAGTGAGTTGAAGATCTCAAATTTAGACTCATGAGCCCAAAGCACAGATTTCCACTGCTCTAATGTCCATTCCTTGTGCTTCTTGGCTAAAAAAAATCTCTTTTGCTTGTTGCTTTTCCTTAATAGTGGTTTCTTAGCAGCTATTTGACCATAAAGACCTGATTCACACAGTCTCCTCTGAACAGTTGATGTACAGACATGTCTGCTACTTACACTCTGTGTGGCATTTAACTGGGCTCTAATCTGAGGTGCTGTTAACTTGCGATTTCTGAGGCTGGTGTCTTAGAGGAATTTATCCTCAGCAGCAGAGGTGATTCTTGGTCTTTCCTGGGGCGGCTTTCCAGACTGACTGACCTTCAGTTCTTAAAGTAATGATGGACTGTCATTTCTCTTTACTTAGCTGATTGGTTCTTGCCATAATATGAATTCTAACAGTTGTCAAATCGGGCTGTCAGCTGTGTACCATCCTGACTTCACAACACAACTGATTGCCGCAACCCCATTAAGAAGGCAAGAAACTCCACAAATGAACCCTGACAAGACACACCTGTGAAGTGAAAACCATTTCAGGAGACTGCATCATGAAGCTCACTGAGATATAATACATAATTCCATATATCTTGCTTCATATATTTGATGTCTTCAGTCTGTATCTACAATATAGATAGTAGTAAAAATAAAGACAAACCATTAAATGAGAAACTTTTGACTGGTAATGTATATATATATTCAATGCAGTGCCCCAT